ACTTAAAAATCAATTAAACCAGGCATTCCTAAATTTAGGGAAAGTTTTCCTGGAGAACACAGGAAGTAGTTCAGCAGTAGTAAGAACACAGTATCTTCACAGCCCTACCTGGAGATGCCAGGAATTTTGCCTGAGACATCTTGTATTCAAAGTACTGGTAAGTGTTCTGCTACTGAGCTGTTGCTCTTCCCCATCATGTATGTATGTACCAAATCTATTATCTCACATCCTCCTTTTGACTTTGCCTGACCCATCAAGCTATCCTGTAGCACCTCCCTCTAATACCTTCCATCTCCATCCATCTACAGAATTCCTTCCTGTAACAAAACCTTTTCTTGCTAGCTTTAGTATTTGTGCACCTAAAACCCAAATAAATGACAACTTATCTGACCATTAACAGTTGATTTACCTAAGCAAAACATACTGGAACAGGGTTCAAAAACCTCTAATGACCTTAAATTTTATTTTCCCCATTTTATTGGGAAATGATTTATGTGAAACTTAAAAAGATGCTTAGGGTTTACATTTCCCCCCAAAAAACCAAACAAGAGGCCTTTCCACTAGATATAATAAATGGTGACATTCGCCCTCAAATGCTATGTCTCTTCCTCTGTGCAACTACAGCACAAAGATGGAAGGAGAAAGAAATCCCAACAAAATAACAGTCACAAAATAAGCTGATAGAGTACGCACAGTTAGCTACGATGACGGCAAAGATAAGAAATCAAGATGAGACATGAATAAGGGAGGAATGGGAACACTTTGGAGAGTATCTAAAAAGGTATAATAATAAAATAAACTATTTGATAGATAGACTTGTGAGCAGCAGTTTACAACAACTAAGATTTTATGTAGAATGAAACTGGGTGGAATAAACTGATATGCAGCCTAATAAAGATCAACTAGGATGTCATGGAGGGATGGCCTGGGAATCTTGATATAGGAGATGATTAAAAGAAAATGTAAGACGTTTATATCCAACTCTGGAAAATGTGTGTGTGTGTGTGTGTGTGTGTGTGTAGTCTAAAGTACAGGACACACCTTGATTTTTGCTATGTGGAAACCACATTTAGTGCCAATTTAATTTAACTATATTGCTTTTGATTAATTTCAAAGCTTGATATCTTTCTATTAAATACTCTAGGTAACATGCAAGATTAAATACTTAAGGTGACATGCAAGACCAGTCTAAAAATCTAAACACTTTTTTTTAAATGAAGGGAAAATACAATAAGGCCAGCAAATAGCAAAAGTTTACCCTCACACCCAGGACTCTTAAAATACTTGCAGAAATATTTTTATTTTCCATTTATTGTATTTTTATATCACTCGTCTTCCAATTAGGGAGCTCAGAACAGTGCACAATGTAAGTAGAATCATCAACACCAAAGAGGTCCCAACACCATCACAGGCCATCTGAAAGTGAACAAGGTGATTTGGTGACTCCCCTAGAGAAAGAGTGGCACAACTGTGGCAGCATGAATGAAAAAGAACTACTCTGGACATTTTCCTGCAATTCCTCATGTCCTTAGTGATTTCTATCCAAAGCACTGCTTTGAAAAAGTATCTTCTCACATTTGTTTGGTTGGGGTTTTTTGTTTGTTTTGTTTTGTTTTGCAAATCATAGTGTGCAAGTCTTACTTGCAATACACATTTTACTGCTCACATTTTTCTGCTAACACTACCTCTTAACAGCATAAGGAAGAATAACCAATGTAAAAGCTCTTCCACTTTGTACTGGTGGGCATTGCCAGTCAAATGGTGTGCATGTGTCGTGTCATGTCATGTGATCATTGATGCAGGGCAAAGCTTACCTGGCACCCCTGTTTTATTGTAATACTGCCTTATATTCCCCTGGAACATAACAAATTTCAAAAAATCCTGCAGCAACAAAGCCAGAAAATTTCTGAAATCGAAATGAAAATATTGAACCAACTACTGTACCGTTTTTAAAAAAACATTAAATGTGAACATATTTTAAAGGTGCTGTTTAAACTGAGAGCAAGTTCCATCACAAGAGTCGAGGGAGAACAGCAAAGGAACAGTCCTTCTCTGGAAATGCTTTATGATCATTTCAGCTTGGGAGCAATAAATGTTAACAGTGAACATTCAAGGGAAATATATGAGGTGAACATTACAGGTTCAGGCAAAAATCAACAGGATACTATTTCTTCTACGGGAAATAAGCAACGCTGACAAATCCACTAACTTGGTGCCCTCAAAATCATTTTTTGCTATCTGCATCATTGGATTCATTTTTTAAATACCTTTTGAGAACTCCATCAATGGAGAAAAACCAGAGATGGCAAATCTGTGACCCTCCAGTTGCAATTGCACTCCAACTCGCATCAGCACCAGCCAGTGTTTTTAATTTACATTCACTTTTATTATGACTGCCAACAATAGCAGTAAAGGGGAGGAATACTATTTCGTGCAGCTGATGGTATATATACAATATAATTACATTACATTGTTGGAATGTATAACAATTGTCCTATGTCATCTTTATCAAAGGATGGATGCAAGAGAGTTCAGGGGTGTTCCTAGGTATGTACTTCTGTCAGAAAAACCAGGCACCACCTCCAAGGCTGTCTCCAACACCACCTCAGAACCAATTAGCAGAGACCTCACAGGCAGGGTGCCTGGACCCCACCCACCCATAACTTCCATCTCCATCTCATCAGACTAAATCAACTGGACAGGGAACTTGGGTTGCAAAACCTCAGACTACACTGCTATACTTTTAAGACTAAGATTCCTCAGAGAGGAGGCAGAGACTAAGATGAAGGAGAAGGGCAGATAACAGGGATGTAGGAGTTCAGTCTGGCTCTGTAACTTGTGAGCTGCCCTAGGTTCTGTTGTTTTCCTCCCCATTTATATCTCACAACCTTTCATAGAAGGCCTCCCAAATTTTTATCACTTGATGAACTGCAATTGCCTGCCTAGTTATATGCCAGGTGACCTCTCAAGGGTTCTGACCTGCTAAAACTGGTCACCCCGTCCCTTGAAATGGGGCAGGCTAAAACAGAAAAGAATCAATAAAATATTTGCAGCACTGTGGAGATGAGCACCCCAGACTCACTGAAGTATTGCTTCACGTGGCATACCACACAACATAGATACAATGGCAAGGCTTGTTCTGCTTCTTATAATTTGAAATCCCAATATAAGGTTGTGGCAATGAAGCTTGCCGTATAAAAGCTAATATGACTTTAGAATGCTATGTAAATGATCTGTCTGCAGGCTTGGCCCCCTATCCATTCATTTTCTGTCCAAATATGTGCCATGCTGTTGCACTGTGCAGCTCTGGTACACTTTTTTAATGGTAGCTAACATAGCTGATAGTAGTAGCAGAGTTAAGTGACACTGTGCCAGTCAACTGAAATATATATGCAACTGCATATATGATGCTTCACCAATGCAATGTCAATATGATGTCTGAACATTTCTCAGAACTACAGAATAGAGTATTATCACTTATTGTTCATAACACCTTTAATGTGCAAAATGCTTTGCCATTTTTATTTTTCATCGAACTCTGTTGGGATTATGAGTTGGTGTTATAATTAAAAGGCATATGAATCATGCTGAGAATGAGATTCATTGCAAAATAACATCTTATTTGCAGTGAGTGAATTATGAATGTGAAATAGTCTTTGCCTTCAAATAACATATTAACATTCTGAATATCAGCTCCAGAAGAAACAATCATTTTATATCAATGCATAATAATATCAATCATAATTTCAAAGCTATGTGAATTAAATGGAAGTAAGCCTTTAAAGTTTTAATGAACAATGTTTTAATGGCCATTAAAGCACTATATACAAAAAAAGCCTTTTTATCATTAATCGTTAGCAAAGATTCGATTCCAGTAAACACTTACAAAGCTACAGTCAGTTAAGCAGTCTCATTTGAAGGTATCCATGTTCAATATGGATCCAACCTAAGTTCTAGTTCTTGCCAATACCAAGGGTTGTATTTAACATATCACTAACTCCGGGTCCCATTAGCATAAAGATTACTGCTAGCACAGCGAGACATTCCTCCCTCTCATCCCCTCCCACATGTTCCCTAAATCTGTTCTTGGGATTCCCCCAAACCTCCACAGCAGATTTTGGGAGAGTACAGGGGGAAGGAGATGCAGGAGGGGAACCTTATTACACAAGTGGTGATCCTTGTGCTAAAAGGAAAAGTTTGGTGAATACCAGCACAACTCTTGCATAAATTCAGAGAGGAAACAATTTAAAAACAAACAAACTTCAAAGTTCTCCTCTGATTTATTCCAGTGGCAAATATTCTCCAGTTTTCAATTATTCCACACCATCATTTTCCACCTAAAGATTCCTGCAATCTAGTCCAATCTTTTTAGGTAGCAGTCACCAGCAATCACATTTGAAAGAAATCTAACATGAAGCAGTAAGTTTTGGCAGTGTTTGACAGCTGGCCTAGTCACAGTTAACATTTGTCAGTATCTAATGTGTAGTTGCCAAGATTTTACACTATCTGACATATGACATGCAGTAGCAATCAATATGTGAGAGTATATGATAGATGACTTGCAAAATAATTTAGTAAATTTTCTATATGATATTTACTCATTGAACTAAGCAAAACAGGCAGATTTTGAACATTGGTATCCTTTTTTTTATTCTGAAATTCAGGAATTGAGTGTTGATGTCAACTTACAAAATCTAAATTTCAAATTTTGAAAATTCACCATAATTTGAAATGGACAGATATTTGGTGACACTATAGATGGACCCGCTAGCCATGTAATAGGATTTTCTACCATGTAAATGCTTGGTTATTGGTACTAAGATAAAGGTTAGGTGATTATTGTTATTTTTCTGCAATGCATTCTAAATTTTGGTAAAGTTTGTATGGTCTGTATTAGTGATCCATGAATAACAACACTGAAGATAATCATAATCATAATCATAATCATAATAATTCATTATTTGTACCCCGCCCATCTGGCTGGGTTTCCCCAGCCACTCTGGGCGGCTTCCATAGAAACCAAAAATACACTAAAATATCACACATTAAAAACTTCCCTGAACAGGGCTGCCTTAAGATGTCTTCTGAATGTCAGGTAGTTGTTTAGTTGGAGATATTCCTCCAGCCTACAGAATTTCATGACTGGAAAGAAGAACATTTTAAGCAATCTTCCCTTTTTTCCATTTTTTTCAAATTTCACAATATCATGTTTTGTGTATCTTTACACACACACACACACACACACCATTTATGAGATATTCTGGTTTGGTTACCTTTTATTTCTGTGGTAGCATATTTGGATACTAAATAACTAAATAACTGTGCACATGTAACAACTTCTGAGAGCACAACAGAACTTCCCCTTTCTCTCTTAGTCCACTCCTCTTCACAAACACACCCAAATGCAATTATTTCATTGGATACAACCCTATATTGTGATCTATGAAGTCCCATTAGTTATTCTGTTTTATAATAAGGACATGTAAATCAGTTATTAATCTTGATTTTAATATGTAATGGAATTTTCAGGGGAGGAGTTCTCTTCTTCCTCTTGTTGGAGTAGTGAGCACATGTGCATAGAAGAGGAACGACTGATAAAAAAAAATGCCACATCCAGTTGTGCCTAAGAAAGAAAACTATAAATATTGCATAAAGGAATTAGAATATGGTACATACAACATTATCAGTGGACTTTTAAGACCATAGACTTCCATTAACAGCAAAATTGAAAGTAGTGACAAAATGTATGTAATACTTTTACATCATAGCAAGAGATGAACACAACTAGTCAGAAACAATAGAAACCACAAAATAGTTCAAAATTATTAATTGTTGCCCGTACTGCTATAAATACAATTAGGAAATGTACACACTTCTCCATATATCTGAAGTTATAAGTTGATTGTCTATGTTCAGCCCTTGTTTCAGCTCAGTGAAAGAGGGGCCAACTATCTCTAGACATCACTTTCTCCATGGCAGGATGGAGCAGGGAAGGGAGGGGACATAGCTCAGTGGTAGAGCATCTACTTTGCAAGTAGGTCAGAGATTCAATTCCTGACATCTCCAGGTAGGACTAGGAAAGACACCCCAGCTGAAATCCAGGAGCTAGTTGAGATTCCTGCATTGCAGTGGGTTGGACGAGATGACCCTATGATCCTATGTAACTGTACAAAATACTGAGCTAGATGGACCATTGGTCTGACATAGTATAAGGCAGCTTCCTATGTTCCTGTAACCATCTTAAGCAGCCATCCTTCCTTCAAAAGGACTAGTCATTGTGTAGCTAGAGGGGAAAGGGAACTGGAAGTGCTTCCACACATAGATACCACATTCTTCCAGTGGAGCCTAGAGAAGTTAGGCCAGGTTTAGTATAAAAGTACACATTTCCACAGATTATTCTTGAATGAATACTATCCTTGAAAAATGAAGCTTGGGTAGTGAGTGTTAGTTCCAGCAAGATATTTTACTAGAATTCAAAAATAATGGATAGCATAGATGTAGTTCTTTATAAACTGCATGTAAAGAGTAATTCATACAGGGCTTTAAAATAAAACTTTTAAGTATTGATATCTATACAGTATATTTATATATTGAAAACCAAATACTGCATTAAGGAGAGGAATTCCTAAATGCAATCCACTCATTTCTCAAAATGAGAATATACATTATATGCATATAATGGATGGGAAAACAACAGTTCCAGTTCTGCAACTACTAATTAAAAAGTACGCTTTTATTACAATTTTTCTATACAAGGCAAGTATTATCACAGTTCTTTCCAAAGTGCAATATCCATTAAAAGACATTCCTTTATTGGCAGAGCAGTATTTTGAACATGGAGTCACAGAGAATAAGATGTGCCACTGGAAAAGGTGAGAAAATGTGTGGATTTCCAATTTGGTTACTGATTTGTCAATGCAAGACAATACTGTTCCATACAAATTGCTTACAAAACCATTCCCACATCCTCCAAGTAATTCAAATTAATTTTATCCTCACAACAGCCCTTTGAGGTAGATGAGAGAAAGAGAGAGGTCACTTGAAGAGTTTTCTGGCTGGATAGAGAGATTTGAAATGAGCTCACCCTGGTCCACTGTACCACACTGAAAGGCAGCGCCAGGTTTACTTACTGCAGAAGTGAACTAAGCTGTAATGCAATACACTGTTTTGATGCCTCATAGGCCACTTTTACATTCTTCGTTTATTGCATACAGTTGCACTGAGAAACAGGGAACAGAACATTATGTTTCCATGACAAAGTTTTACTTTGTTCTTGACCTTGCGAGCAAGAGATAGTCCCAGCCTGCAATAACTGTGTGCTTGCTTCTCTTACTCCCATTGAAGAATGGCAGCCTGTAAAACTCTTAACAATTCTTTCAAAATATTTCTAAATTGTTTTGCTCTAATGCCGCTTGATCAGCTACTAAGGTTAAGCTCCTGAAATGCCTTTATTTGCCAGGCTCACAAATTGCCTTAAAGTAACAACAATCCATTCAAAAACCGGGCTGGGGAGATGTTGCCATCTGGAAATTCCCTTCCCTAGAAGAACCCTGCCATTATCAACCCAGTTGGTGCTTATAAAATTAAGGGCAGCCTTGAATTAGCTACAGCTCTGCTGGTGTATCCATCCAAAGGCATTTTCTCAAGGGGAATTGCATCCTTGTCTTTCCAGAGTTTCCACAGCGGAATATTGTTCCAGTCGCCCAATGACATGAAAGGTCCCTTACCATTTCTCCTTGTGCAACATGTTCTGAGGCGCTTGGCTTTTTCCTTTAAACACACACACACACACACATTTGTTGCATAAATTTAACCACGTCTCCCCACTTCCATCCCTAGACTTCAGAGGTTTCCACCCTTCAGTCCTATTCCTGCTTATTCAGAAGCAAGCCCCACTGGTTTCTGAGGACCCCCAGCCCCAGGTCAGCATCCTGAGGAGAACAGCCTGGGTCTCCCAGAGAGCAGCGTCCCAGCAGAGCTCGGGACGTGCTGGCTGCAGGCTGGTCCAGAGCGCCCTTTCCAGGCATCTTCGCCTCCCCTCCAGCCTCCCCGGACCAAGTCCAGAGTCCTTCCCCTGTGCCCTTCACTTGGCCGGGCCACCCCGCCAGAGTCGCACTGCGAATCCCGGCCCCGCCGCCTGAAAAGCCCACCTAGCAGCTCAAGGTCACCTTACGGCAAAGCCCGGCAGGAGCACCTTTCGGGGGTTGGGGGGGGGGCGGAAAAAACCTGCGGCAAAAAGAAGGCGCCATCCAGAAGCACCTGCAACAGGAGGCTAGGAGACTGGAGAAAGAGGTCCCGTTGGAGAACAACACACAAACATAACGAAAGCACACACACCGTTAAAAGAAAGAAAGAAAAGAGTGCTTCACAGCGTGACGAACAGACAGAGGCAGCGCGGGAAGTTCCCTTCGTCTTACCTGAGGTGGCGACTGAGGAGAGAAAGCGCGCCTCAGAAGTCAAGCCGCCGCCGCTGCTGGCGCTGACTAGCTGAGGCGGGAGGGCGCGCGGATGCTTGCTGCTGCAGCAGCAGCTGTTGCTAAGTCACCTCAGAGAGGATAAAAGGGAGCCGCTCTTTTCCTCACAGGCAGCGGCAGCGCGCGGGGATTCCACCAACCGCGCGCGCGGCGCTTTTGCTGCTGCTCCAAGCTCTCCCCCTGCTGCCGCGCTCGTCTTCCTGCGCTCTGGCATTCCCTCCGCCAGTCTTGGGCTGTGTGGAAAAGCCGGGACGGAGGGCGGGCGGGGGGAGGGGAAGGGGAACCCTGCCGCGAAACGAGCGGGCTCGCGCTCTCCTCGGGGGAAACGCCGAGGCAGCCTCCTCCTCCTGTTGAGGCGGGAAGAGGCGCAGGTGCTTGGGGAAACAGAAGCAGCAAGCGAGGGCTCGTCGGAGTTTAGCACCCAGCACCCAATCCCAAGGCTTCGAGGTAGCAACAAGGGTTCCTCTGAGCATGTACAGAGAGAGCGCTATCCCCTCATGTTACGTAGGCAGCACCTGTGACTGGGAGAAGTAGTCACAGGGTGCTGCTTTAAGTTACTCCTCAGGGTACATATTAGGCCCTAGCATCCCATTGCGCTAAACGTGGTTTTGCATATTGCATGTCCAAGAGAAATGTCACTACTATTTGGACGCAGTAAGGCAGGTCATACATTGCTGTAACATTATTCCTAAGATTTATTTAGGAGCAGGCATTTATCTTGATACAGATCCGCAAGCATCTATCCATGTAAAAGGGGAAAGCAAGATGAAGCCTCATGATACTCCCGCACGTTGCATGTCACTGTGGGGGATGCAGTGACCCCAAGTGCCATAACATCAGCCCAAATTAGCTACTTTCTCTATTAACTAGCAATGTGAGAACCAGTCAACTGAGAGTTGGTATGTTGTCCTGGTTACAGGGTCAGTCCAGGACTGGGAAAACTCCAGTTCAGATCTGCTATGACGTTCAAGGGTGACCTTGGTCTCTGCCTAACCTACATCACAGAACTCTTGTGTAGATAACATGGAGTGGCAGTGGGAGACAAGTATTCCTAGAGCTCAGCATAGGGAAAGGGAAAGGGAAAGGGACCCCTGACCATTAGGTCCAGTCGTGGCCGACTCTGGGGTTGCGGCGCTCATCTTGCTTTACTGGCCGAGGGAGCTGGCGTACAGCTGCCGGGTCATGTGGCCAGCATGACTAAGCTGCTTCTGGCGAACCAGAGCAGCGCACAGAAACGCCGTTTACCTTCCCGCTGGAGCAGTACCTATTTATGTACTTGCACTTTGACTTGCTTTTGAACTGCTAGGTTGGCAGGAGAAGGGACCGAGCAATGGGAGTTCACCCCATCGCAGGGATTCGAACCGCCGACCTTCTGATCAGCAAGTCCTAGGCTCTGGTTTAACCCACAGCGCCACCCGTGTCCCAGAGCTCAGCATAGTAGTCATTAAAATGTATCATTTTTAAAAATGTATTTGAGACCAAATTTTGTGACTGCTTGAAGTTAAAAGCAGGAACAAATGTTCCATAAGTTAACAATGGTGAAAGTAGGCAGGAATATATTACTTATTAGTCACAGAAAAATACCATCAGACACTGCTAAATCACACTTGGCAGCTTAACATGTGCCAGATCTTCCCAATACAGTAACAAAGCTCCTAAACTTGCTTTCTGTTGCTTGGGTGCAGCAATAATAAAGAGTAGCTTGTGCAAAGTGTTTTACTGTCAGTGCTGTGTATTTTTCACCAATTAAGGATGGCGACTTCCATGACAGGAGGAAATATTTATAGACAGCTCCAGCACAATTCATCTTAAAAATTAAGCACTAAGAGAGTGGGTTGAACGGACAGTGTCTGAGATATTTAAAGTATCTATGAATTTGATGCATTCTGTTATGTTAGCTCCATTATGATTATTTTTTTTAGAAAGTAAGAGAAGCAAAGGATTTTTGGTGTTTCAGTTTGAATTCTAGTCGTACCATCAGCTTAGGGCTAAAGTACAAGTGATGTTAAATATATATTTTGGCATTGTGTGTATCATTTTTAGAACTGTAAGCAGCAGCTGTGGTGGCAAGGGGGCCACTCAGGATCTGTACCGCAGTGCATGGAGAGGAGGAGTTTAACCCTTTTGCATGACCCACCCACACCGCGGTCCCAACAAAAAACACCACAACCCCCAAAACTTGCTTTTAGCTCCAGGAGGTAAGCCTCTATTCCAGGGCAGCTTCTGGGGGTACCATTTTGACTGGGATCATTGTGTGGTAGGAAAGAGCTAGCCCCCCTTCACGCATATCATTTGCTAGCCCTGGTCCTGATCTTCCCTTTGTAAGTGCTCCCTCTAGTTAAAATAATTATACACAGGAACAAATTATGCATGTAATGCCAAACTACATTATGTGGCTAACAATATGTGTAGTTTGTCCATTAATCTGCTTGCTTTTTGTTAAAACCATCTTCTTCCCAAACAGAGATGTGAAATAAGAACGGTAATAAGCATCTTATGCTGAAAACAATTTTTGTTGCTGTAACTTCACCATTGTCTATTATTATCCTGGCCTGCTTGACCTAGTTACTGCTGCACATTCCATTTGGGGAGCCAGCAAGGAAAGACAGGATTGCTGGATATGAGTGTATGTCATGATTCCATAGTGAGTAGCCTGTCATTTCCTGGGAAAAGAGATGATCGCCAATATTTTTCCCCTGTCTCCACCCCCAATACTCTCAGTTTAAATGCTAATAAGGTACGTCCCCTGTTGAAGGCATAATTGCATAGCTCCATGATGTCATTCATGACTGGCACAGATTTAATCTTCTTTGGTGATCACTTGTAGCCAAGTAAGATTGTTTTCCATGAACACGGTCTTAACTGTGAGTCAGTAAGTGACTGTGGAGGCCAATTCTGAATCCACACGTCCTTCCACAGTGGGGACGTAGGTTTCCAAGTGGGAGATGATCATGGTGACGGTTTGCTAAACATGCCTTCCTCTTAGGATGAAAGGGAGAAATGTGCTGACCAAGCGTCTTCGAAGTCCATGACACCTTTGGTAAAGGCTGTTCTCCAATGGGAGCACTCGCAGGCCAGTGTTTCCCAGTTGTTGGTGTTTATACTACATTTTTTAAGATTTGCCTTGAGAGAGTCTTTAAACCTCTTTTGTTGACCACCAGCATTACGCTTTTAATTTTTAAGTTCAGAATAGAGTAGTTGCTTTGGAAGATGATAATCAGGCATTCAAACAACATGATCAGACCAATGAAGTTGATGTTGAAGAATCATTGTTTCGACACTGGTGATCTTTGCTTCTTCCAGTACATGCTTCTTCCAGGCATTAGTTTGCCTGTCTTCCCAAGTGATATGCAAAAATTTTCAGAGACACCGTTAATGGAATCTTTCAAGGAGTTGGAGATGGCATTTATAAGTGGTCCATGTTCCACAAGCATACAGTAAGGTTGGTAGTACAATAGCTTTATAAAGAAGCATTTTGGTTTCCCTGAAAATGTCCCAGTCCTCAAACACTTCAGTTGGGAGAAAGCTGCACTCTCAGAGCTCAGGCGATGCTGGATTTCAGCATCAGTGTCGGCCCTTGTGGAAAGATAACTGCCCAGGTAGGAGAAGCGATTGACACTTTCCAACATTACACCATTGAATTGGATTTGTGGCGCTGCAGAGGGATTGTTTTGTGCTTGTTGGTGCATTACTTTGGGGGTTTTTTGGATGTTGAGTGATAGGCCAAGTTTTTTGTAAGCTTCTGTGAAGATATTTAGGATGGTTTGGAAGTCATACTTTGATCACAGATTTAATAGTCTATCAGGATGGCAGTGCTATCTTGTCATGCAGGTGGGACAGTGTGAATGGAAAGAAATACAGGATCTCTCTCTCGATCTCTCTCTCTCCATTCCCTGCTTCCTTGTCCCAGATTCTACCCAATGGCTGCATAGGAGGACAAGTAGAGACCAGGAGAATGAGCAAGCATGCATCCAGTGCATGTTCATTTGTGAGATCTGCATTTTCAGTAGCAAAGAACTGCATCAGCCAGGTTAATACTATTTTTTTTTTACTTTTTATATTACTTTTTATTTATCTCTGTAATAAAATAACACCATTTGGTGGAGGCAGTATACAAATTTGTCACATAAACCCATTAACAAATAATCATAATAATTTGGGAACATAGGAAGCTGCCTTGTGCCAAGTCATACCACACATGCACCTAGACCAATGTCAAGCAGCTGTGAAAAGGGTGAATTCTGTGTTGGGGGTGATTAAGAAAGGGATTGAATATAAAACTTCCAATGTCATAATGTCATTATGCAAATATATGGTGAGACTGTACTTGGAATACTGTGTATAGTTCTGGTCTCCTTGCTTCAAAAGCACATTGCAAACCTGGAAAATATTTTTTAAAGGGTAACCCAAATGATCAAGGGCTGGAGTAATTTCCCTTTTAATTTAGAAAAAAAATGTAATAATAGAGATATACAGGTAACTCACATCTTACATGGGGGGTATGTTCCTGGTCATCATGTGTATAGGGAAAATAGTGTAAAGCCTGAATGAAACCTACAAAAGCCATTTTAAAACCCTACTGTACTTACTATGAGGGATGAATGTGGCTCTTAGTCTTCCTTCTCCTCTTCATCACTGGATGAAGCTTCAGGGGATGATAAGAGGACAAGGGCGATTGACCAATAGCCAAAAGAAGTGCTTGGGTGTGCTGTGGTTCAGATCCAGAGGAAGGTTGCATGGGCACATCTGGTGCTGCTACTGGTGGCTTTTTTGTGAGAAACATGGTGATTGGCAGCTGCCGCTGTTGTCTCTTGAACTCATCAAGCATTACCTTGTATGTTCTCTCCAAACTCTTCTGCAAGTCTCTCCAGCCTCCTCTGATCACCATCTCAAACCACCTCCTCCACACTCCAACCTCCTCCAATGTCTCTCCAAACTCCTCTGCAAATCTCTCCCTCTCCAACTACCTCCAAAGTTCTCTGCTTCCTCCTCCGCTCTCTCTTCACACTCCATCCATTCCCCAACCACGCCCAAACACTCCCACAAAGACTGCTGGGATTGCTGGCCCAATTTCCCCCCACTCTCTTGCCCCCCTTTTCCCTTGCACATGGAATTTCCACAGCATCATTATTTTAAAAAGAAATCACTTGTTTTCAGCGACACTTATAT